ATATATATATAGTATCGTGAAATTTTACACAATACTATCAGGCAGATCGATATAAACAGTGAACATCAATATTATCCTCGTGCGTATACAGTAACAATAAGTATCATGCTTTTTTGTTACTTAGAAAAATAAAATAAAATAAAATAAAATAAAATAAAAAAAATTAAAAAAAAAAAGAAAAAAAAGAAAGAAAAGAAAAAAATCGTTATTAGAGAAGAAAAAGAAAAGAAGAAGAAACTGAATGAGATCGTGCACTCGGAACTCCATTCACGTATCTTTTCGTTCCGAAACGTCAGACATGTCTATAGCACATTCATGTGTCCTCGATCCATTCTCGAGAACATTGCGTCGTTCGTTTGTGTATCGATGCGACGTTCTCGAGAACCACCTAATATAAAACAAATTAAAAGAAAAGAAAAAAAAAAATCCCCCTCCAAAAAAAACGAACAAAACAAATCGAAAAAAAGATAAAGGAAAAACGCGAAACGGTGAACCATCACCCGTAACACACATACACACACATATACACACGTACACACCTTTCTCTTGTACAATAAAAAGCAAATAAAAAATCAAGTGAAAAAAAAAATTTTAAAAAAAATTAAAAAAAATGAAAAATTCGAAAAAAAAATTTTGCTGAAGGCAAGGATCTAACTATCTAGGAACGAGTGTTTATAAGAGTGCGCGGAAAGTCCAAAATTTTGAAGGTTTCTCGATCGATCCATTCGTTTCTAGAATCCTTCTCGGACGTTCCCCCTTTATATTATAATCCTTTCTCTCTTTCTCTCTCTCTCTTTCTCTCTCTCTCTGTATCCCTCCCTTTATATTCCGCCCTTTTTCTCTCTCTTTGTCTCGAACACGATATAATATAAAAAAAAAAAAAATTTCAAAACGGACGAGACATTTAGTGAACACTCGCTTCCATTAACCCACGAACACATACAACACAGCACAATATTAACACGATACATACACACAGAGTTAGAAAAAAGACACGAATAACACACGGAGTAATCACGGTGTAACACACTCTTAAAAAAAAAAAAAAAAAAAAGTGCATATTCATATACTGACAAGAGGACCCCGTGCACAAACAGACGCACGATTTTATATGGAACATAATTGTGGAGGTAAACTGCGAGGCTGCGTGTGTTTTAACATATGAATGTGTGAGTCAATTTTGTCTGAATGAAGGGGAAAAAAAGAGAGAAAGAATGATGATGAAAAAATAAAGCAGCATCGAATACATTACCATGTGTTTATGTGCTTGTACAGCGTACACAGGCTGTCACGATACACCGACACGGCCCCTGACTTCCTAAATAAAAATGTGCGGGGAGGGGAAAACAAAAAAAAAACAAAAAATGGTATGGATCCGATTTTTTAGTCAACCGAGAGTCGTACGTACTACACCCATGATCACACGACCCTCACGTGAACGAATCGTTGTAACCGTGACGAAATTCTTTTAGGTTCTCGGTACGGACGAAGAAGCCCCCCTTCCTCTGTGTCGATACGTGTCAACTTTGAGAAACGAAAAATGACCGCCGTGAGAGGAGAGGGTGAAACCGATTTCTCGATATAAGGTCGCCCCGCTGGGAAACGAACACACATTAAATTATTAATTATCAATTATCGCTACAACCAGAATATTTATCACTAGAACTACCTCCAACCTGCGTGTTATATAATTAAATATTAAATTTATATCGTAATATCCTTTTCCGTTGAAAATTATCTCTCAATAATCGCGAAAGTGAAAAAAGCGTTTAGGTAGTTCTAGTGTTAAAAACAAAAACGATCGATTGACAATATTTATTATACATCTTATTATACATTTATTTCCATTCTTGTCCCCTAATTTTCTTTTCTATTTCATATTTTTATAATCATCGCTTTCATTACTCATCGTGCGAAAAAACATATTATATTACACGATTCGGCCACGATCGCTAAGAATTCGCTCCATACCAGCAAGCAACAATTTCTTTCGAATCGATTCCTATACTCGACCGTGTATCTCTCGTTGTAGAATTGAAACGCGTGCAAAAACGTTCCCGTCTCTGTCTTATTTCCGCGTGCGAGTTGGAAATCCATCCCGTGTCTCTCTCTCTCTCTCTTTCTCTCTGTCTCTCCTCTCTCTCTCTCTCTCTCTCTTTCTCTCTCGACTTTTGGAAAGATGAGCACGGGAGGATGCACCACTGTTACTGAAAGTTCCTGCCACTGAAAGTGTACACACGCGCTGCAACCGTGGGCCGTGTGGCGCGAGAAAAAAAGGGGATCGGTGTATCGTGAAGGCCGTATGCACGTTAGCTGTTACTCCATTCGTAGGATCGAGGTCGTTGTAAAGAGATAACGCACGACGGCAGGGTCCATGTGCTTCGACCTGGCAATAGGGACGATTATTTACCGTGAAGCACGAGTTATATGCATAATTTGTATCCTCCCTCGGCAGTTGTACATTCTGTATCTTTCTTGAATAAACCGAAATAAATTTTTCTTTTAATTCCTTCAGCCAAACACGAGCCGCTGCTCGGCGACGATTAGGTGGAATGACACATTCCGAGAAGCTGATATATCGGCGCGATGTTGCCCGGCCACGAGGAAGTTCGTGGAAGTGGGCCTTCCAACGGGAAGAATATTGATTTCGACATTTCGGATTCTGTAGCCACTCCACCTTGTCGACGTTGACGTTTCTTCTTTTCCCGGCCCGACACCTTATATCCCTCGGTTAATCATCGTCAATCGTGCATCATTTATCGTGGCGTGAAATAAAGCGGTAATGGCATGTGTACGAAAGGAGGGGAGAAAAAGAAAATTTTATAAGTGTAAAAAAAGTAGAGAGATTAAGGGCGAGGATTAAAGGGGGAAGATTTTTAATTTTTTATCGTACGACGAAAGATTGATACGTTTAAAGTAATTATTAGATTTAATATTTAAGTTTCTAAGATTTGGTTGCAAGGTTTTAATCGTTACTCGTAGTTAATTGGAACAAATACTTTTTTGGTTTTATTTTTATTTTTTATTTTGATAAATTAAACCTGCTAACCTGGTGTTTAATTGTTTAGATAATACTTTTTAGAACGGAGAGGTAGGCCATTGATGCTTTTACTATCTATAAATAAATTAGGCAAATGTAAGGGAAGAATTTAGACAATGATAGTTGATGGTTTTTATAATTGAAAAATAGCTTACAACGCCAAAAGTTTCTAAAGAAAATACGTAAAACTTGCCAGCTGTTAGGTATAACGGTTTCTGCGCTCGAGCGATACAAAATATTAAAGACCGCGTGTACTGCTCTGGTAAATCGTACCAATTAGTAAAGTAACAAGCCATTTGCACTTCGCTACTCTGAAAATAATAGCGATTTATAGTTTTATTAAAACTGTCTAAGTGTAAATTGTGTAAGTGTTTTAATAAATATTCATGACACATTTCGATTAAAATGTTCCTAGAAAATTATAACTTATCCAAAGAGTAATTAATATAATAAACAACTCAACAGGATATCTAATTAATTTTAAAACTAGTTTAGAATTTGTTAATCCCAATCAATTAAATTAAATTATTATATTTCAAAAATTGTAAGTTGAAAAAAAAATTTAAATAAACAAAAATTCCTCTCTAATTATAAGATTTTTGATAATTACCTCGTTAATGAGACACTCTCCCAAGAAACAATAGCAGAATGCTAACAATATAACAGCACAAGAGTAGATTATAAAATGTATCGTATTCATATCTTCTCCCGATTCGCTTGTCTAGAAAATATTTATAATTGCATGATCCTCGTTGAATTTAAAAAAAAAAAAATGAAACACACGCATCAAGTGCTTTTAATAAAGTGCAAAAATTATTATAAATATCTAAATAATTACAACATTACCATAAGTAATTGATAGACCACGATGCACAGTGAGAATATTAATCCTAATGTTTGTACAAACATGAGAGAACTAAACGTGTTCGCTAAAATATTCGCCAATCTACAATTAAATTAAACAAATGGATGATCATGCGATCCTAATATTTTCATCAAAATTCAAATATCAAAGTTTAGATTTATTTTAAACGAACGACTCACCGTAGAAGTTCGGTGTGCCGTTCAACGAGTGCCTTCATTTTCGGAAAATACATCTTCGGTTCGATATTGACGTTTCTCATGCGATATGCTACAATTGAAAGTTGACTGCAAAGATGGAACGTTAATGTCACCAGAAGACTATCCGCCCCGGTTGCACCGATCGTTAACAATGTACTCGTTGGTATCAAATAAACGCAGAACAAGGCGTACGTTTGCAGTTTCGTTATTTCGTAAACGTTATTCACTTTCATGGGTAATTCGAAAGGAAGGGTACAATTATTGTACTCTGTGAATCGATAAGATGTATTAATATAAATTATATAATAAATTTTTTTCAAGCGCGTGTGAATTATATACAATTAAAAAAATAAAATAATTAACGTTATATTTTGATGAAAATCAGTGGATTAAAAAAAATTTCGAAGATTTCCACGTTACAACGAAGAACGCGATAATAATAACTGAAACTTTTCACTCCACTCCATCTCAAAAAAAAAAAAAAAACGAAGAAAAGAAAAATCGGAAAAGCTAAAAATCCGGCTATCCACTCTCCGCTACTTAGGCCACTTATCGAAAACGAAGAGAGGGAAGAACGTGGAAGCCCATCGAGTACATAAATTCGCGTTTGCCCGACTGTTGGGAAAAAGGGAAACTGAACACTGCCGGTGGTCGTCGTGCAAAATCCTCGTCGAACTGTGACAACCTCGTAAAACGTAACCGTTTTGTGTATCCATGAAGGAAGTAACTGTCTCGCCACGAAACACCATAAACCTGCACACGTTAGGTAACTGTAAGCGCGATCATATGGATACAGATATCGAGTGCGTTTCCTGGATTCGAGCGATAAAGTCCGCATTAAAATCTTGATTTATCTTACCCGACTATCCGTGACGCGTCGATAATGCCCGCTGCTTTAATAAAACCGCCATTTTTACCACTCTTTTCGCAACGAACACCGGATCCAAAGACGTTCTTTCGACTTTTAATGAAACGTCATTCTCGATACACGGTGTATAAAATTAAGTTCTTGATGTTGAAATTCTCTTGATTGTTAATTTTTGCAATACCAAATATCTCTTTGCGATTATAAAAATTTGATAAGTGGATCGTCGTCATCGATAATGAATATATATATAATCTTTCGAAATGTAAATGTACGGAGAGTGCGTTAATTTTTAGAATTTAAAAAAGATACGCGCGAATTCTTCCCGACGAAGGATATCGAAGAAACATCGTCGATGAAGTTATAAATAAATATACTTTATTTTCCAAAAAACTACATCGGGACGGAAAGAAATCGGGCGATCGAACTTACTCGATAAAAGACAGCCGATGATTGGCTTGGCGTAAAACAACGTGGGCACGAAGAATAAAGACAAGGCCGACGAGGTGGAAAATAAAGTGGCGGCCACGTTATACCAGACGACCGTCCGCCTTTCCTCCGCCGAACGATACAGGCCCTCGTTCACGTCCCTCTTGACGACCGTCAGCAACGGTAGGACGAGATGCATATTCATCCGGAACATCACGGCCTTCAGCACTATCAAGATGGTTGGGAACGATAGCGTGATATTTTTCAATGTCTTCTCAAGGTCGTGTATATTCTGGACCAGTGTCACGATCTCCAGCCAAGTGAAGATCACGACGTACGTAATGTAGAGAAAGAATCGAACGTCGTTGCGATTATCTGGCCACAGGCCGGATAAGCCCAACAAACGTTTGCTCCACGAAATCACGTTCTTGTCGTAAAACAGTTCTACGTACGACGATATCGGCCTCCTCATCGTCGAGGACGCGACAACTCTGACACGGTATCGCGAGTCGTTAACGTTTTTATTTTATATATATATATATATATTAATGAAAGTATCGAGTATTGCAATTTATAGATTTTCGAATGTCTCGAAAAAATCTTGTCGCGATAAAATTAAAGCTCTCTTCGTGTCAACTTTAATTTGGTTTTCATCTTCGAGAATGGTAGAAGAGAACATGTTATAAGAATAACTTTTTGCTCTACAATCTTCTATAAGACGGTTGTAATAGTGGAAGAAAAAGGAAACGTAATTTCTTTCGTATCGATCTCGTTAAATATTTATCTTCGATTTGCTCGATTATGTACGTATCGTAAAATTCCAATTATTTACCAGAATTTCTAATTTTTCCAATGAAAATTGGTCTCCGTTTGTAAAAAGTTGGATTACTCGTAAGTGCAGGAAATTGGAGGTATGTAATTTTCATTGGAAAATCAGAAATTCTGGTCGGTTGGAATCGTGACAGTTCGTTCGATCGATACTAGTTCTCCATTAATGGGTAATTACACATTCCTCGATCGGTATTGTTTCGAGGCGAGTCACGCCATTGGCGCGAATTGCTCGAATCGTGACTGCAACTTTGTCAGAGACTTATCTGCATACGTTATAGAGTTTCGCTTAGTGCGACGATCGTGAGTGAACTTTCCGTGAGCGGACACGTAATTGAGCAATTATTACTTCCTGCACTACACATTTAACAATTTTTATTTTGCACGATCGGAAAACAATTATTTTCTTGCATCACTTTCCTTTCGTTTGATCGAAAACGCGTATTCGATTCGTATTGCTTCAAACTGTGACTTCCATCTAATATTCTAATATTTCAATTTATCAGGTTAAAAAATAAAAACTGGATAATATCCCTTCAAATTTTGTCTAATTTCTTAAATATTGCTTAACAACCTCATCACCATTTTCCATCATCTATCGATTCCATCAATAATTATCTACACTCGAGAAGATTATTTCAAGCAAGACAAACTATGAGAAGAGTACTCGTCGATTCAAGATTACGTCGATTTAAACATTTCGTTCCAAGAGACTGTTGCATTCTCTACGCTACGATTTAGAGATAGATCGCTAAGGTAAATCGATGGACGTAATTTGGAGTAATAGAGGCGCAAAGGACGGACAAGAAATCCTTTCCGATTCGAGGACGATGAAGAGCGCGTGTGCGTGGTGGCCGGAGCTTGCGACCGAGCTAGCGAATGCAACCAGTGTCATGCAGTCGTTGCACCGTGTGCACGTGGGGAACGTTGTTCATGCGAGGGGAGACACGGAAGCTCGTGGAGCACAGGGGCGTTAGAACGCTTTTAAAGGAGGGAGGAGTTCGAGTTTCAAGATGAGGTACAAATATATCGGTACGATAGGCGCGTTCCTGATCGCGACCACGTGCCTTTTGTCGGGGTTGATGTATTATTTCAGCCAAGGTATGCGATCTTTATTAATAAAAAAGTAATTTGATTTTTGATATATGGATCGATGGATTATTAAGAAATTATTTATTATCTGCGTGATTTAAAATTATCAAAATGTTTTATTTGTTTATATATTCCTGAGATTTTAAAATTACATTTCAATTATTATATATATAAGATTACTTCTTTTTCGTAGCGATTAAGGAATAAAATGGAGTTAATAAATAAAAAAAATGAAGAAATTAAATGATTGGTCAATTGCTTAAACAAATAACACATTCATTTTTCATTTGGAAGCTAGAGATCGATTTCGTGTTTCATTGAATCCTTATGTTTGCAAACAATCGTTGGAAATGCATATATGTCTTATCTATATCTAACTTTAATTTTTCTGATTTCAGATACTTGTCCAATGGGAACGTTCCTTTGTCAGAACACCACCATATGTCTACCCCAGAAAAATTGGTGCAACCAAGAAATCCAATGTCCATACGGAGATGACGAGCAGAACTGCTGTCGGTTCATTCATATTTATTTTTCGCAAAAAAAAAAAAAAAAAAAAAGAATTACAAAAAAATAATGGTTTGGACATTTTATTATTTGCACGTGACACTTTTGTATTGGGTATCAAGAGTATCAAAACCACCTCTTTCTCGGTCAAGAAACAAATTAAATTTAAAATTTAGTTACGATGTTATGACATTTTTATACGCCGCGCATCTTCTTCTTTACACTGTATAAATGCAAACCTTCCCCCTCCCTTTTTGTTGGAGCAAATATAAAAAGTTTACTTTGTATGCAGATGATTATCACGGAGTATTGGACTGGTTTGGCAGTGACAGAGATTCCAAAGCTGTGAAGGAGTTCGTTTGTGGTAAAGCAATATCCATAATTTATCGGGGAACGGAACACAATATCGTGTAACGGAAATAAAAATGCTACGATATAAAGAGAGATACGCAATGGACGAGATAAGAATTGTCAATTTACGTATTTTTCTCCTTTCTGCTAGATGCCACCGACGTTCCTGTCGGTTGTAAGTACGTGATGTGCCGTGCAACGTGTCAAGGATATTCGGAAATTCCACGAAACTTATCTTCTCAAACTACTTCCATGTAAGAATTTTAAATGTTACGAACGGGGGAATTCCTTCCTGAAGTGTATAATTTTTTAATTTTTATAACGTTCATAGATTACGTTTCTTTATCTTGGATGATTTCTTTTAGAACTTTGTACGATAGCTCGATTGAACACGTCTCAGCGGGTGCTTTCGCGCAATATTCCGAGATTCGTATACTGTAAGCTTTTTACTTAACTCGAATTTTATTAAACCAATTTTGAATATTGAAAAATGTAATATTAATGTTACTTTTTAGGTATCTTGATGACAGTAATATACGTGAGCTAGAGAAAGGAGCTTTCGCCAATTTAACCAAATTGTTCTGGCTGTGAGTACATGGAATGTAATTTTAATTCTCATATAAAATGATGAACTCGCATAAATTTTCGATTGAACAGAGCTTTGGATAATAACGAAATTAGTGAATTTCTCCCTGGACATTTTACCGGTTTGACTAAATTGGAATCTTTGAAGGCCAATAAGAATCGACTCATTGTGGCAGATTTCTCAGACTTCAAAGGAAGCGTTTATTTGAAACTTATGTAAGATAATTAAAATGTAATATTATATTAATTATTCGTAATCTTCTAGAATTCGTCTTATATCGTTATTATAGAAATTTGAACGAAAATCAATTGACTTCGAAAGGATTGCGGTTGTCGGAATTGCCAACGCTTAGCGAGATGTAAGTTCGATTCTTTCTTCCTTTTTTTTTTTTCAAATTAAACCCGATTTACATAAGAATTCAAATTTCAGATTCTTGGATGAAAATAATTTCGAATCGATTCCTCTGTTCGCTGGATGTCCCTCGTTAAAATCCCTGTACGTACGTAAGTAAATGAAAGAAATATGGAAAGATTAATCCCTCAAAAAAGCAACGTATCTCACAATTATTACAGTTATTATTATCATCGACTATTTTTCCAAAGTTCTATTCTAATTTACCACGTCTTAACACTCGTTAAACTTTAAATTTCTTCCCGCAAAAAAGTATCGCGGATAAATTCCTCTAAGAGGGTTAAAGTTATTCTTTTTTTTTTAACCGTTGTTATTTATGAACCACTGAACCAGAAGTATGCAAAGCAACAAGATAAAGGGGATCGAGGAGGACACGTTTCAAAATTTGGAGCAGCTGGTCGAACTGTAAGTTCCTCGCGTTACATCAATTTGCGTACGCTCCTTATGGCAGTGTAACGAAGTTATGTCCGTCGTACATCATCCGTGTGTCGTGTGCAAAACGGATTTTTTTCCCTTTCAGTAATTTGGCGTTCAACGAAATAACGACCCTCCCGCTCAATGTATTCCAACCGTTAAAAAATCTGACGAGCCTGTAAGTATACGAGGCACCGGTATCCACATAAATTGTAACGCTACACGTCTTAAGCTACGCGCGTGCTTGCAACATGTTTACCTGATATTTACCGTCGTACACACGGCGTTAGAAAAGCAAACGAGAGGAACGTCACGTATGCCGGCGTTAAAACTTTTATTTATTGTACCGGCACGTACGTGCGCGGAAAATAAGGCCGATACGAGTTTTGCCGTGTCGTTTTAGCAAATTTTATGATAGAATTAAAGCCCGTTTAAACGGGGATTATTATAAACCTGCGCCTGGTGTACATCGAATAATTTTTAAAATTGTTATTCATTACAGACAATTAGGTTATAATCATTTACATAATTTACCGATAACCGTTTTGAGCCCGTTGACGAGACTTCGCTCTCTGTAAGTTCTATTCTAAATTTCTATATTTTATACGGTTATTATCGTATTTGCGATTCGTGGAAATTTTTTTTTTCTTTTAATCGAGTGATTTTGCGCCCGATTTTTATTATCAGAGACTTGGAGGGTATAAATTTGGATTCGTTGGAGATAAATACGTTCGACGTGTTCAAGCTGTTGGACTTCGTGTAAGTAGATTCTATCTGTGTTACGTCGGACAAGTTTATTTCGTACGTAAAAGGAATTTGGCGAATATCATTTTACAGATACTTCAAGAAGTTTCATTATTGTGCCACGTATACACCCAACGTAAAACGATGTCGACCCACCAGCGATGGTAAGAGTTTGAGAAAAAAAAAAAAAATGATACGAATTTAATTTCTTTCGTATTATTCGATTATAAGATATTAAACTAAAATTAATTTAGACTTTATAACTCGGTAATAATAACTCGGTATAAACGTGTTCTTTCGGTTCATCCTTATAAATAATCGTGATTTACTACGTCCTATTAACTTACCTATGCGGCTTTAATCACGAACAACCCTCGCATAAAATAATCTGACGTTAATGGGTTATGAGGCTACTATTAGGCCATTAAATACATTTCTCACGAAATTACAGCTACTATAACATTATTTAATGATTTTAATCACGCTTATAAAATATCTACTAGTTATTAATATAATAACTAATAATAATTGTAGGGGTA